AGCTTCTTGATGTTTTTAAGTGTCATGTGAAGGCAAGCACTAACGAGATTATTTACAGACAACTCTTCGCTGAGCACAGGAACAAATATAGCAGTTATCTTCCAGTTTATACAGATGGGTCCAAGTCAAAAGATCATGTCGGGATGGCATTTGTAATTAAAGACCACATGGAGGGCAGACGCTTGCACAATGATTTCTCTGTCTTAACATCTGAACTAACTGCGATATATTATAGTCTTTTATACATCTCAAGGCTCTGCTACAAAAAGTTTATAATTTATACAGATTCGTATAGTGCTCTTAAATCATTAGAAGCTTTTCCTAATACTCAAAATCCAGTAATAGTGGATATTCTCAAAATACATATAAACTTAATGAATCGTGGATATGAAATCCTGTACTGCTGGGTTCCCGGGCATGTGGGAATAAAAGGGAATGAGCTGGCAGATATCACAGCAAAATGTGCTGTTGAACTGTCCAGTCGTCTCATCCCTTTTGCAGACATTTGTTGTGTTGTGAAACAAAAGATCCGAAAAAAATGGCAACAACTTTGGGATGTTCAGCTTCAAAATAAATTAAGACATGTAAAGCCTAGAATTGAGCACTGGGAATTAACAAAAAATCGTAAGGAGGAAGTTCTTTTGACTCGCCTCAGAATTGGTCACACTAGAGTGACACATAGCTACCTGTTAAAAGCTGAAAATGAACCCGTTTGTTTTAACTGTAATGTTTGTTTATCTGTTCGTCATATTTTAATTGAGTGTCCATGTTTTAATAGTCTTCGCCAGAAATATTTTAATAGCTGTGACTTACCTCTCGACCGTTTAATCGGAAGAGAGGTCAATTCTAATTTATTTTATTATTTAAAAGATATTGGCTTTTATTACCAAATGTAATTTGTTTTGAAGACTGTCTCTTGAATTTTAATATGTGCTTTTAACTTGTGTTTATATGACTTCATCCTCTGGATTTGGTACATTTATCTACTTGTTTTTATTTATTGAATTTTAATGTCATCAATTGTAATCATCTCATCTTTTGTTTGGCGCGTCATAATCATCTCTGGTTTTGCGCCATAATCACTCACTCACTCACTCACTCTTATTCTCGTATAAAACAAAAGCTGTTTAATCCTAGTATACGGTACTATGGAGGTTAGAATCAAAAAATATGTATTGTTAAGAAAGAAAACTGCAACAGGAGTGGTTCTGTTCCGAAGTAGAGGGAAATATCTGTCGACGTTGCGCAATGGCGAAATATCTGTCGCCAAAGCTTGAAGCCGGTGTCGAAGTTCGAAGGTCACGTTATCAAGAGTTCATAAAATGAATATCATTTAAAATTTCTTTAAACTGTAAAGGAAAAGAAAATATTTTTTTTTTTACGCAAGTAAATTAATTAATAGATTAGTTATTTTGAGCAAAAGGAAAAAAAATACGAAAATCCACATTTAAATTATTGCAAAAAATCAAAAAAGAAACTGTTTTTGACAAAACATGACAAAGAAGAAACGTTCTTTGATGAAATGTTTCTTCTTTGTCATGTTTTGTTACACGTGTTCCTTATTTTCCGGCAGCTGGCAGGTTCCGTCGGCAAATTACTTGGCGAATTTTCCATCCACTTTCTAGCGCCATAATAGCATTACGTCTATGGAACCTTTCCTTCTTTACATAGACAGACATTCTTTGGTTAGAATATTCTACTGTATTCTAACCTCCATGTATGGTACACACGGGGCGAGAATTTTCAAAATCGTGCCAAGGTTTAGCGTATACTAGAATTACGCAGCAATCCTGTATCCTTTTGTGAAATCATGTCTTCTGACAGGAGTATTAAATGCTTGGGATGGGTACACAGATTCTTGGAGAACCAGTACTTGCAAAGGAAAAGGGGGAAATCATTCCTACGCCATGAAGTAGAGGAAGAAAAATATTATGTTAAAGTGCATTTGGAAGTGGTATGAAGTGAATTCCATAAACCAGTTTATCAGGATGAACCTACTGCTGCTACTCTTAATTTTGAACACATCTGCAAGAAAAATTAGTTGTATATTCTGTTTGTCCTCATGCAAGCCAGGATTATCAAAAATTGTCAACAATGAGTTGCAGTGACCGAAAATCCGAGTTATGCAACAGGAATGCTGCCTGTTGCATAACTCGAAGAAAGAATGGTTCATAGTAATAAGGAGCTTCTTCGAAGGTGTTTGCAAGATCCTGTGTCACATATAAAGAATAGTTGACTTCGGTCAGTAATTGCGAAGCCACTATAAATAGACAGCCACTGCCATATTTTTCAGATGACCCTAATGAATTAAGACCTCTTATACCTGCTCACTTTATTCAGGATTTAGTCAAACAAGAAAATATTAATTTGGATTTAATTAACTCTCAGCACATACTGAAATGTGTGCGTTATCGTCATACCTTACAGCTAAATCTGTGAAAGTGTTTCTATGAAGAATATCACAGAGAATTTGTAAGAAGTCTCAAGTCTCAAGCCATCTTCACAGAGAAAGATAATTTCATCAGAAGAAATTGCTCTACTTTAATCAAAGAATCCAAACAGAATAAATTGGCCTTTAGCACAGGTAATTTAACTGTTTCCTGGCAAAGACAGTATTGAACATGTCCCAAAACCCTGAATAGCTAATGATGAAATCATATGACTCCTTCAGTGGATTTATCCTTTGGAGCTAGCTTCTGTGGGCAACTTTATTGAAATACCTCAGGAAACCAAGGCTGTCCCAGAAACAGAACTTATTGATAAAGAAGTTCAGGAGATGTAAAGCCTACTCAAAGTGGTTACTGAGTAGTGCCTGTGAAATGGCAGAATTGCTATTGACATTTTCCCTAGTATTTGATAATTGTAAAATCATTTTGTTTGTTTTTTGATCTTTAATGTTATACTCATACGTTTATAGTTCTTAGTTCAATTTCATTTCATGTGTTATAGTTAAAGTCTATTGCATAAGTATAATTTTTCATTGTTTCATTTTGTGTTTCTGTAGGCGAATTAGCCTGGAGTACAAAAGGTGGGAGAATATTGTCACTCCTATTAAGTTTAGCTTCATTGGTATTGCAATTTGTTTGAACTAGGAATCTGGCAACCCAGTTTTTGTTTGGAATGTTGTTGTCAAAAATTATTACCATTCTAAGCTATGCAACAATTAATTTATACTACAGAAAAAAACTGAATGATATTTATTATTAAGAGGAACAGATCATTTGATCATTTTGTTAAATCACACATGTAAATAGCCTCATTAATCTCTGTATGTTTATGAAGTGAAAAAAATTGGATATTAAACAAAATTCGAATTTAGTTAAAACAGTTAAGCTTGTTTAATTTGAAAATGCATTTTGTTCTACTATTTGTTATTGTACTATAATATATTTTTAGTTATTTTATGAGGTTCTGGCAACTGTTCATACTTTTATGACATTTAGTAAACTAGTTTCGGTACCGTTCTGTTATCAGAACGAGATTCAGAAATGTATTTATGTGTGCAGATGTGTATGTACATACATGTTTGTATTTATACACTCGCATACATATGTATGTACATAATACACATATAAATGAACACATGCGTACATACATACATGCATTTCTGAATTCAGTCCTGATAACAGAACAGTACCCTAATTTCTGCCATGCTAATTCTTATTAGTTATAATGAGTGGTTTTAACCGTGTGGCAGAAACATCCCAGCATTGACTCTGGATGAATAGTCGTATGACAATTTGCTTCCAAGAGGTCAGATTCAACCAAATTCCATCTCCTGTCGTGAACTTAGTTTTCATTGATTGTCACATTAGCTTGCTTGCCATATGGAGTGTAATTTTGTGCCACTCTTGTTCATGTACTTGAACTGTTAATACCAAATGTTATGCATAGTATCTGTGAATAATTTATGCCATTTTTGTGCTGGAGTCCAAGGTCCTTCTTTGCCACATTGTGCAATCATCATGCACATAGTCAAGAACCTGTATGAGGTTGTGTTTAGCGAACCTTTTCCAACACTGTGGATTGGAAATTCTAGAGCACTCATCCGATTCACATTGGTACTATACCTAACTCCATTTTTGTATCTACAGTTAAACAGCCATATGTAAAAAATGCTTCTGAAATGAAGAATACTGTGTGAGCATAAAGATAGATTATTTGAGTGTGGTGAAATGAATAGGATCCGCTGTCTTCGGTGTCACTGGTAGCAAATGACTGGTAAGCTAGGTGAATATTTTGATGTGTTCATCAGCATGCAACATTGTTAAGCTCATGATGGAAGTTGTTGATGGAGTGTTCATTGTCTGTATTTCTTCCTGTTATAGTGGTAGAAAAAGAACTGAAGTGCAGAACATATATTTAGATATCTTCTTTGGTCTACCATCCATTACAAATATCTACTGCAAATACCATTAATTAGTTGCTTGATATGTGTTGTAACATATATATTTTGAACTTTCTGGAGGGAAGCTTCTATGTCAAAAAAAAAAAAAAAAAAAAAAAAAAAAAAAAAGAGAGAGAGAGAGAGAGAGAGAGAGAAAGAAAAAAGAAAGAAAAAGTGTGGTTGTCAGGATTTATAGTCTGTTACTTTAAAGCCTTCAAGGTCTTTCTGACTCTCTCCCATTTGTGATTGTAACTTGTATTGTTATTGCTGCACAGCATCTGTTTTCGCTATCTCATCTGAAACTGTAGTTTAAGTTGGCCTTCATTCATGTGCTTTTCATCAAGTGAAGCATGCTAAATGGAAATGAAATAAGGCACATTTAAGGGACTCGACTTTCTTCTGCAGTTGATTGTTACAAGGCAAAGGGGGAGGAGGAAAAGGACCTTGAATGCTTGTTTTAAGGTAACTGATTAAATAAATTACCTTTTTGCATAACATGCATTCGTATACTGATATTTCTTTGTTTTATAATATAAAGAGGCAGATAGCCCTTGCATACTTTTCCATAACCAAATAAAAGAAACCTAGTCATAATGCATAGTTCTTATTTCAGATTTAGAAAGCAAAAATCCTGTGGACTGGTATCCAGAAGAAACGTGTTATTTTTGTAGTGCTAAAAAACAGCCACCCTATGTAAGTTACCATTTAATAAATTCTCTTCCAAACTGAAATCTTTTTGTAATTGTTAAAATTAGGATACATATGTGATAACATGTAACAGTTAAAAATATGCAGTAGACTTCCAAATTAAAGGAATTTTTAATGGATTAAAAGCTCAGAGTATTTTATATAGCATGTGAGATAATTTTTCATTTTTTTTTTTTTCTGCTGGGGGCTGCATTTTGAGCACTGAAGAATTAACTGTCATTTTGTTCAATTCTTTTCTGTGTTTGCTTTAACAGTATTTTGATTTTATTACACAAGAAAAAAGAAAACTTTGTTTTCTGTAAAACATTCCTAATATGTAAAGCTGGCTGTGTGGCTAAAACTATGGTAGTTTAGACCAGGATTGAAATCTGAATAAGTGGGTGGGCTCCATGGAATACATAGTCAGTATATCTAATATTTATTTGCTTTTTCCTTTTCCTGTTGATCATCCAGTTCAGTTCCTTTAGACTGTAAAGCAATACTTTCAGGAAAGTTATTTTCAATAAATATTTTATTTCATTAATGCATATTTTGTTTTGGTTAAAATGCATATCCTTCAATAATTCCAGTTTACTAAGAGATAACCTTTTTTTTTTTTTCGGGAATTTTGGAATGAATTTCCTTTGTTTCTATTCCAGCCCCCGGGAAGACATTTTTTATGCTTAGATTTTTGGGATGTGTGCTATTTATGCTTAATTTAAGGAAAAACCTTTTTCCATAAATACTTCTGGTTTTTATTGGAGATTTTAAATTGTACTTTTCTGCATTTTATCCTCAGCCAGTTTTAAATGGTACTACTGCTTTAGCCTTTTTTTTTTTTTTTTTTTTTTTTTTGTAGGACCCTGCCAGTGGTATAATCCCTACTGTTGAAGGTTATAACTCATTACGTATTGATACAGATGAACATTCAGCATCATCTGATCAAGGTAATTTATCAGGTAAGTAGCAGAAGCAATAATTATTGGTAAATGTTAAACTTCTGTTCTCTTCTATCTGGTGTTAAATGTTAAACTTCTGTTTCACTCCCCAAAAGAGAGATAATTGATATCCAGAGGGTGAAGTACGTATTCTGCAAGTCTTTATGCGGCATTTATTTCCAGAAGATGATTATTAGTTATTAAAAAGTATATTTGTTTCCAGTATACTTCTAATATATACTATAGATGTATTTAATTAGGTAAATTAATTCAAATAGATATTGTAGATTTGAATTATAGATGTATACTTCAAATTACAAAAATGCTTTAAATAAAGAAAATATTCATGTTACTACATTTTTAAACTTGGGATAGAGTAGACTTTAAGGTACCCCTAGTATTATGGCGAAGTTGTTGTTTGATTTATCGCCAAGTTGTTGTTTCATTTATGGTGACCTGAGTAGTTGAATGTTATGGAAACCCTATTGTGACGTAATTGGGTGCATGATTCTGGGAAATTTTGAATCATGAGATGTTTTGTTAAAGTTTCTGTGGTGTGTGTTGGTTTGATTCTTTAGATGGTGGAATGGCCGAATGTAATAAGATTAATTTGAAGTTTCTGTATGGAGCAAAAGGGGAAAAGAGCTTTAATTGAATGGTGTGTAAATGAAGGTTTACTTAGTAGCCATTGTAAGTGTCCGGTATGTAGGAAGGATATGCGTCTAGTCGAATGTAAAAACCGTTTAGATGGGTTTGTAGGAAGAAAGGGTCAGATGGTCACTATGTAAAGCGTTCGATCAGAAAGAGTACCTGGTTTGAAAAAAGTCATTTGAGTGTGATTGCTATTTTGATTTTTACGTGGCTCTGGGTGTACGAAGCAAACTCGTAAATCATGGTAAGCGAATATTTGCTTTTGGTAGTGCTTAAAAGTGTAACATGTTTTTCCTTTTTTATGTTATTTTATTGTTTGGTTTAAAATGTATTTTATTGAGATTATGTATTTTTTTCTTGCTTGTATTGTAGAATTTGGTGCTCCTTTGACTTTTTAAGTGAAACTATATCGATGTGTACATGGACAAAGTAAAGGGAGGGCACATTGTAAGTTTGTGCAATTCGGGGATTTTTTTTAAGTGAAAATAGGTCAAGGTGTACATGGATAAAGTTAAAAGAGTGCACAATGCCATTTTTGTGCAATTCGGGGATTTTTTTTATGTGAAAATAGGTCGACGTGTACATGGATAAAGTCAAAGGAGTGCACAATGCCATTTTTGTGCAATTCGAGGATTTTTTTTTAAGTGAAAATAAGTCGATGTGTACATGGATACCGAGTTTGTGCAATTGTTTGTCTTTTTATTTTGGCTTTGTGTAGCGGCGATTTTTGGCACAAAAATTGCCGCTACACAAAGCCAAAATAACAAGACAAAAACTTGGCTTCGCAAGCCAAAATAACGAGCCAAAGAATTGCAAAAATCGGTATCCATGTACCGCCAAAAATCGCCAAGTTTCGCCAAGGGGTACCCTAAACTATACTTTTACCTTAAACTTGATATAATTAATGTTTTTAAATTATGAAATGTAATTTTTTATGTTACCTAAAATTACATTTAGTAAGATACTCAAAAGCTCACTGCCATACTGCAGAGGTTGACCAGGGTATTTAAAATTTGAGATCTTGTTCAGGCTTGACTGAAATATTTGTAAGCAAATGTGAAATAGCAGTTTTGAAAAAAAAAGTTTCTTATAAAGATATGAGTATTGCTATGCCAATTGTCATTGAATGTTTTAATCAATAAATATTTTTCCTAAAGGGAGATCTTATTCACAGAATTTTACAGAACTTGTAGAAAACAGTGGCGGGCTTCATTATTAGCCCATAGTCAGTTCATAGCATTATTTTTATAAATGAAAAACATTTCTAATTTTTTTTGGGGGGGGGAATGTCTGTTAAATTATGGTTAAAGCAGCACTTCTTAAGCGTTTTTTTATCTATGACCCCTTTTTATCATCAGGATTTTGTCATGATTTTCTTAATTCTATATTGAACGTAGAATATAGATATAAAATATTTTTCCATAGATATGTTTTTGGTAAATATGTGTTGAAAAACAGTAGTTTCAGTATTTGTTTCAAGCGTAGAAATAAAGAAAGAAAATCACATTTTACTGAGATGGATGTGCTTATTTTTTGCTTCATAGCAAAGTAAATCTGCTGCAATATTTGCTAGACGTAAAGCATTTTCAACATTTTCTAGTGTTGAATAACATTTATTTAATAAGATTTTAAGCTAGAAACTTTGTTTACGTAAGTTTGTGGTGCTGAATAGCAGGCAAACATTGAATGCAATTTAAGAAATGGTGGAAAATTCAGTGCTGTCTCCCATCGATAATTCAATTAAGGATTATTTCTAAACTCATAGATAAATTCGTGTCACTTTGTTGCTCATTTAATTCCTTTCAAGCTTTATGTGGCAAGTATTTAATCTCAGTAATGTCAGTCTAATTTTTTTTTAAGTTTCAATGTAATTTATTTAAGCTCATTTATCTGAATTAAACTTTTATGACCCCCAACATTTTGCTATGCAACCCCATTTGCAGTCACAACCCACATTTTAAGAAACTGGTCAAAAGTAATAAACCTGCTTATGAATATTAGTAATGCTTTTCTATCATTTAAAAATTTGTAAACTGCTTATGTGAAAATGCATACTTTTAAATTAAGGAATGTTACGTACTGCTAAATTACTAAGGAATATCATATAACAACATTAAAGGGGGGGGAATTCTTGAATTGTTCTAATTTATTTTTTAACTGTTCTATCCAGGAAAGCTGGAAAAATGCCAAAAATACTAAATTTTAAAATGAAGTATCTCAAACTATTTTTTAAAATTTTTTATATAGTAAGTGTAGAATTTTACTTAATACAACTGTAGGTACAAGGGACCACATAAAAAGTTAAGAGTTCATAATTTTAGAAAATAATATTTTAAATTAAAAAGTATCATATTATGAATATTTTTGTCTTTAAAGGTAGTTTTGTAATTTGAAGTATATTTTTAAACCCAGTGATTGTGAAAATAAAGGCAGTATGAGGCTTTTGTATGGACACAGTGTATAACAAAGCTAATATCTTGAATGATACAGGCAGGAAAGTTTTCCGCGCTTTCACGGAATTCCCCTTTTCTGAATGTCACCCGGGCTGTTTCTGAGATTGATGCAGAACTGTTGAGAAATCGCGACCGGCAAATGTGTGTGTGTTGAGGGAGTAAACGAAGGACATGCTCTCTCTTCTTGTCATTGCCGGAAAATGGGCAGTAATATATAACATAAATATGTATATTAGTGTGTTGTAATGTTGTGTACAGTATTCATGTATTAACTGTTAAATTAAGTTACATAAAGAGCATCTTAAATTTAATTCATTACAATTTCTTGATGATTTACTGATTTTTTTAAACAAGTGGAAGATAAAATTAATAGCAAAATAGTAAGTATAATCTTAGTTTAATAATATGTATAATACTTTTTATATTAAAAGGTTTATATTTTAACAAAAAAAAAAAAAAAAAAAAAAAAAAATTTTTTTTTTGTCAATTTGCACTTTCATGCCTGATAATAACAATACAAATAATGACAAGATATGATGATATATGCTAGTGAAACAATAGCCATAAGTTAGAATGTAATTAATTGTATTAATATACAGAAACAAGGTGAAATGTGTTAATAATGCAGAAGAAGTGTAGCTTTTATAGTGCATTTTATATTCTGTTTGGTGTGTAGTTCTTTATTGCAGCAGTAATGAAATTGATATCTCTGCAATCATGTGCTCCACTAGTTTAAATATATAAACGTGACACAGTAGTTATGAAAACACTATAATTGCGATCTGAGGTGAAGAAAAACTTTTGCAATAAAATGAACATTGAAAGGAAGTTTTAATATATGATGTCAGTGAGTTTCAGATGGGTGCCACTAGTAGCATATGCATGAGAAAATTTGTCACAAAATTTGCATTAGAAGATGTGGAGCAGCGATGTGACTTTCCAACTTCTCTTATCCAGTACCAGTGGATGCAATGATCATCTGCCTCAAGACTGAAGCAGATTGTGATGACAGTATGATGCTAGTCAGCAACCAGTCATGATGCTTCATGGCACCATTCCAAATTTAAAGGGCAACATGAGCGTAACTCAGCCAAGGATCCCAGAAGAATAGAAGGTACTACATGTGGTATGGATGATGCTACAGTTTATTGCTTTGTGACCATCAATGAGGTTGGAGCAGTGCTGATTTGTTGCACAATCAGCTAATCTTGTTTCTCATTTATGCACTTTGGCCTACCAAAGCTGTCACTTTTCCTGTATGCTTATCTTGCAGCAACCATTTCTGTTAGATACAACAGTAAATGTACACCAGTTTGCTCATTCATCTACTCTTTTCTATCTAAATAATCACTGTAAGAATTTAAACACAACAAAACATGTTTATTCTACCAAAAAAATAAAATTTTTACAACTGTTGCCACTCAAAGCAATAAAGGGGAAATGATATTACACTGGTTGAATGTGTATAAATAATGCTATACTTTACTATACTCGCACCTTTGATAACAGTACTATATTCCCACCTTTTGATAACAGGATTTTTATCAAAACTATTGCAATTAAACTAAAATTTAACCTAAAAGTCCATTTTGAAGTTCACTTAAAAGTCTGTTGTAAAGTTCACTTAAAAGTCTATTTTAAAGTTCATTTAAAAGTCTATTTTAAAATTCACTTAAAAATATATTTTAACATTCAAAGTCCTTGAATATAGAAGACACTTTTTATAGATTGACTAATGCGTAATCTAATCTGGATCACTCATCCAAGTAGTCATCAAACGTTTTGCCATCTGGATCACTCATCCAAGTAGTCATCAAACGTTTTGCCATGTGGATCACAAACTGGTTTAGGTTTAGAAATTTTTTATGAAATAAGGATTTCTTTCTAACCTTTATCTTTCCTGTCTGAGTTGACTGA